TCTTATGTATTAGCGGAGAGAAGAAATGAATAAGATGGGACAGAGACATTCATTCTGAAGAACTACATGTACCCAGATCGGATAAGGCGATTAACATCTATTACGTCCAATCAAGATCTAAAATGCGAGTGTGCATTATTTGAATCTAAGGGGTTTCCATGCAGACATATGCTTACAGTAATAAAAAATATGGGATACACCGCACTACCCTCCTCGTGGTTCAAGCTTCGATGGACCCAAAATGCGAAGACACTAAATCGTCATCCTGGAGTTGGAGGTGATGTGGGAGAGAAAGTTGGTCGACTGATAAGACATGGAGGATTGGCTCTAAAGTGTAAGCGTTTGTGTGACATCGCGTGTGGTAGTGAAGCTGCTTTTAATCATGTCTCTAAGACGTTGGACGACCTTACTCAATGGGCAATTGAGTTCGCGAGGGAGAGAACGGACAACACTACACCGGCAAACCCTCCAACACCCCTTCGAAGTGTGAAAGATCCAAAAATGGGGAAGACCAAGGGGACATTCAAGTCAGCACGAACTGCATCGGGCAAAAGTTTAAGAAAGTGTTCGAAATGTGGGAAATATGGTCATTTTCGCCCTAAGTGCCCGAAACAAAGTCCCAAAAAATTATCTTAAATTTCTTCTACTGTTTTTTAGGAGTTTATTTATTTTTTTATAACTATGATTGCATTGTATTTTTTTTAATTATCTTAATAATTTATGAGTTAATTGATTGTTGGTTGAAATAAACAAACACAATAAAACGGTCGACCGCGTATTTAATTCGGCCGACCAAACCGGTTTGTTTGCCAACATCCACCCCAACCTATCCCCCAATCCTCTATTTAAGAAACCCTCCCCCACTCATTCTACACCACAACCAGAACCCTATCGCACCACATCCACTCATTCTTCCTCTCTTTTCCCTTCTTCATCTTCTTCTCCAATTTCCAAAATATCCTATTTCCAAAATCTCAAAGGAACCTCCATTCCATTTCATCATCATCACTTAGAAGAAGAACAAGGTATAGCTTTCAATCTTCTTTTCATTTGATTCGATTTTTCTCTTCTTCTTTGGTAGATTAGATTGTTTTCAAAAAATATAAAGATGGAAAAGAGGGATTTTACCTTCTGTTCGTCAGATGCGGTCGACTAGTTCATCTTCGTGGTCGACCGCACCTGGCTTTCAATCGATGATTCTTCTGTTCAATGGACTGAGGTCGGCCTGTGATGATATTGAGGTTGACCTGTGACGTTTTGCTACGAGTTTTTGACTTTTTATTTAGATCTAAAGATGGAAAAGAGGGATTTTCCCTTCTATTCGTCAGATGCGGTCGAACTGTTCATCTTCGTGGTCGACCGCATCTCTCTTTCAATCGTTTTGTTCTTCTGTTTTATGCACTGAGGTCGACCTGTGATGATATTGAGGTCGACCTGTGACGTTTTGCTACGAGTTTTTGACTTTTTATTTAGATCTAAAGATGGAAAAGAGGGATTTTCCCTTCTGTTCGTCAGATGCGGTCGACCTGTTCATCTTCGTGGTCGACCGCATCTGGCTTTCAATCGATGATTCTTCTGTTCTATGGACTGAGGTCGACCTGTGATGATATTAAGGTCGACCTGTGACGTTTTGCTACGAGTTTTTGACTTTTTATTTAGATCTATAGCTTGAAAAACATTTGGGCCATTTCAGACTCGTTTCAAATTAGCCGAGGTCGACCTATGATGCTTCTGAGGTCGACCTATGAAGGCAAAAATTCGATTTGTGCCATTCTCCTACGAATTATTTGTGCGAAACTAACTCTGGTCGACCTGTTGAAATTATGAGGTCAACCGGATCTATTTTGCACTCAACATTAAAAGCATTTGGGCCATTTCAGGCTCGTTTCAAATTAGCCGAGGTCGACCTATGATGCTTCTGAGGTCGACCTATGAAGGCAAAAATTCGATTTGTGCAATTCTCCTATGAATTATTTGTGCGAAACTAACTCTGGTCGACCTGTTGAAATTATGAGGTCGACCGGATCTGTTTTGCACTCAACATTAAAAGCATTTGGGCCATTTCAGAATCGTTTCAAATTAGCCGAGGTCGACTTATGATGCTTCCGAGGTCGACCTATGAAGGCAAAAATTCGAGTTTTGCCATTCTCCTACGAATTATTTGTGCGAAACTAACTCTGGTCGACCTGTTGAAATTATGAGGTCGACCGGATCTGTTTTGCACTCAACATTAAAAGCATTTGGGCCATTTCAGACTCGTTTCAAATTAGCCGAGGTCGACCTATGATGCTTCTGAGGTCGACCTATGAAGGCAAACATTCGAGTTTTGCCATTCTCCTACGAATTATTTGTTCGAAACTAACTCTGGTCGACCTGTTGAAATTATGAGGTCGACCGGATCTGTTTTGCACTCAACATTAAAAGCATTTGGGCCTCATACTCGTTTCAAATTAGCCGAGGTCGACCTATGATGCTTCTGAGGTCGACCTATGAAGGCAAAAATTCGAGTTTTGCCATTCTCCTACGAATTATTTGTGCGAAACTAACTCTGGTCGACCTGTTGAAATTATGAGGTCGACCGGATCTGTTTTGCACTCCACATTAAAAGCATTTGGGCCATTTCAGACTCGTTTCAAATTAGCCGAGGTCGACCTATGATACTTCTGAGGTTGACCTATGAAGGAAAAAATACTAGTTATTTGTGCTAAACTTATTGAGGTCGACATGTGATGATATTGAGGTCGACCTCGGAAAATTTAAATCGATTGAAAGCCAGATGTGACTTTCAGTAGGAGTGCAGTGCAGGCCATTAGGCCACCTTGGAATGCACTCGAAGACACAAACGTCTGATGCTGCCTTAAGTTCGGAATGGGAAGAGTTCAATCCCAATCTGTTCCAGACCAAGGAGCAAAGTGACAACTATGAAGAGAAGAGAATGCACAACCGCAGGGTGGCTCCTGGAAGGCCATTGGCGACGGATGCGTATTCTCATTTCGAGAATTACGGGTTTCTGGGACCCTTCATCGAGCAAGAGTGGCTGAAGGTGATATCTCTGAATGTACCATACTACCCAAAAATGGTACAGTACTTCTACAACAACATCGTCTACGAGCGCAATGCAAATGGATCCATTCACGCATTCAAATCCTATGTGAATGGGGTGGTGATGCACATTTCACGAGAGCCAAGCAAATCCAGACGGTATGTGTTCTTGATGAAGAGGAAGATGCTGAGGGTTGCAGTAGGCTAAAGAGTAACCACCTGACAGTTCAAGCCAGAGTTCTTCACCACATGCTTTCCTACAACATTCTGCCAAAGGGTGGACATCGGGAGACAGTCACCTACTTCGACATGGAGCTCCTAACCAACCTACTGTTAAATGAGAAGGTGAACTTGCCATACTTGATCTTTAACCACATGCTTACTGCTGCAGAGAGTTCAAACAGGAATCTTCCCTATGGGATGATCCTCACTGTGCTATTTGAGCATTTTAATGTGAATTTAAGTGAAGAGGTGGGGTTAAGAATCACAAGGCAGGAGTTATATACTGTTTCATCTCTGAAAAAGATGGGCTTTGAGCTGCGTAATGGTGAGTATGTCAGAATAAACATGGAGCTCCTAACCAACCTACTGTTAAATGAGAAGGTGAACTTGCCATACTTGATCTTTAACCACATGCTTACTGCTGCAGAGAGTTCAAACAGGAATCTTCCCTATGGGATGATCCTCACTGTGCTATTTGAGCATTTTAATGTGAATTTAAGTGAAGAGGTGGGGTTAAGAATCACAAGGCAGGAGTTATATACTGTTTCATCTCTGAAAAAGATGGGCTTTGAGCTGCGTAATGGTGAGTATGTCAGAATAAACAATGCTCATGGTGCCCATGGTGGTGATGATGATGATGATGATGATGAGGATGAGGATGATGATGGTGATGAAGGAGCCGGAGACGAGCGAACGCCGGAGGCACAGAGTTCAACTCCACCGATCACCTTAGAGCGTGTGTGGGAGCGCATGGATGGCATGTACGAGTACATGGGATAGATGTCCACCCAGATGACTGGCATGTACGACTACATGGGGCAAATGACCGCCCAGATGAGCACAATGCAGGTAACCGTGAATGAGATGCGAGATGAGTTGCGATCTTTCAGCAGAAGATACATGCATCCCACCACATCCGACCACCATCATGCTAGCACCACCAATGAAGAAAATGTGGATGATGGAGAGAGGGGAGATGAGTAGGAGCGTGGAGATTTTAGATTGTGTGTTTTTATTGTTAAGTGGTCAAAACGATTGTTGATTGTTATTCTGTTGTTTTTTTAGTTTTATTTTTATGCGTGAACAATTATGATTTCTGTTTTATTGTATTTCTTGTTAGTTAGTTTAGTTGTTATGCTATGAATTGATGAGTCCTTGTTATCATTATTTATGACTATTTATGATGGTTTGAAACATAATTTATACAAACAAAAGAACCACACAAATTGACATACATAAGCAAAAAAGGGTCCGGATAGTATAACAACACTCTTTTTGTTGTTATAATAACAATAGGATTCATTAAGGGCAAAAGGGTAAATTTATACTGAAAATAATAAAATAAATTAAAATTCAAACCCACCCGAGAAATTGGGCCGGATGGATTGGACGTCATTAAACTAAAAAAGCCTATCTCCATTAAAGCGATTAGGTTAAACTAGTTACGGCCCAGGTTTGATCACGGTTCAAGCTAGCACCCGGTGATGTGACCCAGTTGATCCTTTTCCGTCGACGGAATCGAATATGTGGTCGTCGCTGCTGATGGCCTGGCTGGCTTCAGCTGCATGTTACTGTACGCAATAATGGGGAAGAAGACAAAGGGAGGGAGCATGGAGCGTGAGCCGCACATGGCAGAGTTTGGAGAGAGAGAGAGAGAGAGAGAGAGAGAGATAGACAGGGATGGAGGCAGAGACTTCTTCTGATACACTGACGAGAAAAAAATTCAAACCCACCCTAATCCCACATCAGACCTCATCTTCCTTCTCTCTTCTGTTTCCGATCAGTAGTGGCACCCGACCAACGCCGGAGCCGAGAACATCATCGCCTTCATCGATTTTTTCGACGCGAACTGGAACTTGGACAGAGACGCAGACTGCTCCGCACGGTGATGCTGGTGGGCGTCGAGATCTTCCGGCGCCGGCAAATTAAGATCCAGCGACAGCACATGATTCTTCTGCTGGTTATTCAGATCCTCATAATTAACCGCGGCGCTCGTGTCCACAATACCCGCCGCTGTCGCCGTCACCACCCCCGTCGCCGTCACCACCCCCGTCGCCGTCTGGGAGTCTTCGTCGTAGAGGCGTTTGAGAGCTTGTGGGGAGCCGCCGATTGGCGATTCGCTGCGAAAAATGACGCCGTTGATATCGAACGCAATGCCAAAATTACGACGAGGAGGAGACCTGCGCCTGCATTATCGAAAATCACTGAGAATTTTAGGCGGGTGATTTTGAAACCAGAGATTAGGGAACGGGAAGAAGAGAGAGATAGTGAGAAATCAGGGGGATTGACAAGCGCACTTTTCCGCGGACTGGGACGACAAATGCGCGAAGGATCGCGAGAGGACGAGCGGTGGCTGTGGCGGGGGTGAAATACTGCTCGCGGTCGCTTTTGCGAGAATTCGGTACTGAAACCGCATTGCTCTCCGATCACTGCTTCCTTGCGAACGTTCGGTTGAAGAAGCTTTGCTCTGATTATTGAAACGACTTGGCCATTTACGAGCGTTTAGTTAAGCCAGAAACTTAATGTTGGTGTAAGATGAAATATAGTTGGGATGTCGAGTGCTTAAAATTTTCTATGGTATGCAGAACATGAGCATTTCAATACCAGAAACCTAATGCAACTATAAATATGGTAAAACAAACCACAAAAAGCATACCATGAACCTACTAATGCAAAACACAAGTCTCCTAAAACATACCAGAAATCCCACAAAGCATACCATAAATATTTCTAATGGACACCAGAAACCTCATAATGCAAACCACAAATACGATAAAGCAAACCACAAAAACAAACCAGAAACGTCCTAATGCAGACCACAAACATGATAAAAAACCACAAAAAAGCAAACCAAAAACCTTCTAATGCATACCACAAATTCCCTAAAACAAACCACAAGCCTTACAAAGCAAACCGCAACATTTGCGAAAACACACCAGAAACCTCCTAATGCAGACCACACACGTGATAAAAAACCACAAAAAAGCAAACCAGAAACCTCTTAATGGAGACCACAAATCCTCTAAAACAAACCACAAACCACAACATTTGCGAAAGCACACTAGAAACCTCCTAATGCAAACCACAAGCACGGTAAAACAAACCACAAAAGCAAACCAGAAACCTTGTAATACAAACCACAAATATATTAAAACAAACCAGAAACCTCACAATGCAAACCACAAACACGATAAAGCAAACCATAAACTTCTCAATGCAAACCACAAACACGATAAAGCAAACCACAAAAGGCGTACAAAAATATGAGAAACCAAACCATAAATCTCACAATGCAGACCATAACATCCGGTGATCGTTGACCATTGACCGGTCAATGAAGACCGTTGACCGGTCAACGAAGTTTGTTGACCGAACTGCGGTGACCGTCAGTGATCGGATTCCGGCGCCGATAAGCATATCCCGGCCACGATGAGTAGATTCCGATGCCGGTAAGCATATTCCGACGCCGGTAAGCATATTCCGGCGACGGTAAGCATATTCCGATGACAAAATAGCATATTCCGGCGACAAAAAGCATATTCCGGTGACCGACGACCAGTTTCCGGCGACCAAATTTTTGGGCAGAAAATAAAAATTTTTTTTTATTAATTTTATTTTTTTATTTAAACAGATTTTTCATAATGACAATCATACCCCTACTTTGATTTTACACTAGGTCAACTCATCTAATAAAAAGTCATCACAATCCTAGCTTTCTATTGGTTGGAGGCTAGTGTTGTTACAATAACAACACAAGGGGTGTTGTTATAGTATCTAGTCCCTGCAAAAAAGACACAACGCATAGGTTTTTTTTTATTGTATTCGGTCCACCTCGTACTGGATTAGGTCGACCTCGAAACCAACACTTGATCTTCATTTTACGTCAAATGATTGGACACTTTGATAGAACACTTATCTTCTATCTGGTCGACCTCTTTCCTTAACCGGTCGACCATTTTGTTAATGACTGCCATCAAGTGGTCGACCTATATACCTTAGGTGGTCGACCATGTTGTTTCTGACGCCAACAAAATGGCCGACCGAGGTTTTATTCTGGTCGACCAAAAATAACAACCTTAGGTGGTCGTTGAGGTTGACCGCAATGCATTCTCGTGCTGCCCAAATTAGTCAATTCGGTCGACCGCCTTCAGTAATAGGTCGACCGAAAAATCCATGTCACGGTGACATGCCTGTCATAGTAGGCATACCCTAAAAGTTTTGGGTACCAAAAAGTAATTAAAATTTTGGGTTGGATGGAAAACTAGACGGATGCACATTTTGGTGACTTTAATGGTACCCGACGCCCTATTCAAACTTAAGTGGCATGCCTGCCCCAATTCTCAAACTTTAGTGGTACCCGAGGTATTTTACCCCCTCTTTGGTGTACTGTGGTGGAAAAAATTCATGATTAATTTGGTATTTGGTTTATACCGATACAGAACCAAAATATTTGAGATTGGAATGGAATACTGAAATTATTTTGAGATTGAGATTGAGATTAATTTTATGACGTAATTCAGTATTTGGTATTCGATATTGGGATACTGATATCTTACCAATTTTCACCCCTACCAATGATTCCAACCCCTACTAGCACATTCTCACCGTTTGGGTGTTAGAAGAATATTTAAATTGCACCATGTCATAACTTGTTTATCAAACATTTTACTGAAAACATTAATGTCTCAAATAGGGATGGCAACAAAACCCGAACTCACGGGTACCCACCCGATCCAACCCGGTCAACGCGGGTAAAACCCATGTTGATGGGTTTTGGGCCGAGTTCGGGTTTAAACCCACTACACTATTCACCGGGTCGGGTTGAGTTTGGGTTTAGGTAAACCCGCCCCATGGGTACCCGCCCACACATATATAATTACTTTTCCGGTATATTTAATATTCTAAATAATATATCTTTCTTAAATAACTAATATTCTTTATGTTTTGTGGAGACACGTATAATTTGTTCTTTCTAATTGTTTAGAATGAAGTTGATATTATGAAGTGGAGCGTGAAGAAACTTAGTTGACGAGGAAGAAGCTTTCCATTAATCTTATTGTTTATAGATGTTTATCTTTAATTTTGAACAATTTGTATTGATCATTTGCGGTTTGCTTGTATGCTCTAGATTGGTGTTTTTTGTTTGATTAATTTGTATGAGAAAATTGATGTTAAACTTTTATTTTGAAAGAAACTTGTTATTGTAAATTTTTTACCGCAAAAACCCACGGGTACCCATGAACCCGCGGATACCCAGCGGGTTGGGTTGGGTTTGAGTTTTTCAATCCCAACGAGTTTTACCCCGAGTTTTTTTGGCGGATAAACCCATGGGTTTGGGTTTGACAAAACCCGCGCCAACCCGACCCATTGCCATCCCTAGTCTCAAACATCTTCTCTTTAAATTATAGTCGTATGGGTAGATCTGAATTGACCTGCATCACAAAATAAACCTAACCTATGACAAAACGAGTATGAATACTAAAACAGAACCGATCATTACGATTCCTATATGCTCCCTGTGACCCAGATGGGAAGGTTGGATGAGCACCTTTTTCTTTAATGTCCAACAGTATGGACTCTCGAGAGCAATAATCCTCTTATGTTCCAATTGTAGAACGAGGTTAATTATGGCCCTTAATGCACAAAATAAGTTTCAGAGAGGATTTGGTTTAATATACAAAATAGACTTCAATCTGCTGAGCAAAGACCATGATTTCATTTTTTATTATCAGAGAAATTATTCCCGGAAAATGCTATGAAAATGAGAACCCCAACTTCCAAACAACCCTTGAGAACCCTAAGATAAGATAATCTTGACTGATAAAATAGATTTCCATAAACCAACTTGCTTGGAAGCCTTTTACAATTACCGCAGTGAAGGCTAATAAGTGCAGAAAGCATATAACATTTCCAAGCATATACAACCTAAGATCAACCTCTAAACATGTTAGGTTATCCGCTTTCAAGCATGGCAACAAAACAAGTGCATCCATCGAATGCCTTTCTTCCTTCTGAGTTCAGCATCAAACCCACCAATTCACAAAATTATAGAAAGGGTGAGAGTCGCCACAACACTTCAAAAGGTTCCTACTCAGAAAGCTCATAATCATCCCAATCAAATGGTTTCCGAAACTCGAAAAGTTGCTCGACTTGGCAGATAGGCGAGGCCCTTGGTGCAGCCAACAACTTCTTCAGGTTGCGCCGTTCATCAGGAGACAGACTGTAGCAGTGAAGAATCATCTTCTTCAGGACACGTCCAACTTTCAGCAGCTTTTCTGCTATCTTCGTCTCAGCTTCATAAGCTTCAAAGCCCTTGATCTCAATCACCTCAAGTCGTGAAAGAAGGCATTTGGGCTCCGGTCTCTGAGCTTTTATCCAAGCTTACTCGAACTTGAGGAGCCGTACCTGGTGGGGGTGGCAGATGAACTTGAAGTTAAGAATTAGAACCTCCAGAGCTAAGACAGTATCATCACTGAAGTCATGTCACAGACCTTCTAGCAAGCGATGCAGAGTAGGCCATCCAATTCCCAGCACCTCTACCGTCAAGTGAGTCAAGTTACGAAACACATGCAATTCTGGTAAAAAGCGGACTGATACAATCAACTGCTGGGACAATTCACATTCAAAACCATCTCTAATCAATAAGAATACAATTCTAATAAGGTCTGGCAAAGGCAGATAAAAGGAAGTTTTTTTTTTTTTTTTTTTTAACTTTACCTCAACGGCTTCCATGCACAAGTGCAGCTTTGAAACATTTGCAATATCAGAATTGCCAAACAGGAGCTTGCCGTAGGCAAGGGACGACAAGTTCCCAACTTCATATTCAGCCACAACGAAATCATCGAGATCAAAGTGTACAAGACTTGGTGCTTTCAGAACAACATTTTGCATAGCACCTTGGATGGTCATGGACAGCTTGTTCACTGAAGATGATTCAACATACAAGGTTTTCCGATTCATCCTCCTCTCTTCCTCCTCCTCCTCGTCGAAGTCCTCGTCCTCGTCCTTCCATTTCTCCGCAGGCCCAGCACCTCTTCTGATGTATAGCGTATCGGGAACAGGAGAGCAAGAAATGAACCTCCCTAGCAAGTGGCAGTCCTCCACACTACACCCACTCAATTCCAATATCCTGAGACATGGAAATGAAATGTCTGCTGGTATGTTCAGCTGAACACTACCGCGAAGCTTCAGAATTTGAAGCTTCCTTATAGTAAAAATGCTCCGAGTTAGGTCAATCGGAGTTGTTCTCCAACCAACATTGATGTCCAGAACCTTAAGGTTAGGCACCGCGGCGACAAAGGCTTCAATCCTAGGGTTCAGGATGAAAGAATCCAGAGGGGTGTTGCTGCAATTGAGGCGAAAGCTTCTGAGATTACCCAAATCTTTGTGTTGCTTTATGACGCTTTCCACGATGCTAGGGAAGTGTTCATTGATCACAGAGAACATGAGGCTGGGGACATGAGTCCAGAGGTACCTCCATCTTTTGGACAGAGCTGTTGTTGCTACGGCGAGTTTGGTGTCGAGG